ATTTATTCTTAAAATTGTGGGTCCGATTTTGACATAATTTTTCTGATATACAAGATCACATTCAGCTCAAATGGTGAGCATCCCTTTTTACTCTGAAACAGTTGTCAATTGTGGGTCTGATAATTTGTTTGTATTGATATTTTAGGGATAAGACTGTCTCTAAGGTAGCATCAGCTAGAAAGATTGATTTGCAAATCATATATAGATCAGGTAATAAAGAACTTAGCCATTTAGAAGCTTCTCGATCAGTAACACCAAATAAAGTCATTAAGGATCATATTAATAGGGATAATGGCTTATATTTTGGGTTGAGGGACCTGCATTTAGGTTCCATGCTAAGCTTGATGATATTGCTACTTTGGAGAAACTTTGGAGGTGTTATGTTTATTTAAGGTAAGAAAGAGAGCAATTGGTGTTCCTGTACATTTAATGATGATGGATGCTTATAGCAACTCCTTAAATAATAGGACAATATAAACCATAAAGCAGAAGCATTATTTAAACTTGACAATGATGATTTAAATCCATTTCACAGAATCTTTCATTCTGAAAATATTTCAACACCAAATCATCATAAGGCCAGTTTTATCAGATCAACATACTTCACCCCAAGAAAATCAAAACAAACTGTTGTTGAAGAAATAAAGGCATTGCAATCTGTTGATTTTGAATCCTGTTAATCTTGTACTTAATTTAAACATTGCATTTTCAAAATAACAATTTTAGATTATTATAATACTAATGTTTTAAAAGAATTTGTAGCATAATTCAATTGTATATTGTAGATATATACTTAAATATTATTTTTTATCATTATTAAAAGTAGTTAACAGTTGGCAAGTGAGGGTTCCCAGACTAAAAATTGAGGTTTTCATATCAAATAATTCTTCAAACCAAGTGTCACTAAGTTATTTAGAGTGAGAAAGGATGTTCATATTAGTGTTATCAGGCCAAGAAAAAAAAATATTATTTATTATTTACTATTGTTACCAGAATTCAAAATTGAGGCCGATTTAGTATTAGTAACTGAAGCCCTATAATTTCGAATTCATCTATTTTTATTTTTATTTTTATCCATTTATTTGTATTCTATTTATTTATTAATTATTTATATGAATTATTTGTATTTGTTTACGTTTTGTCACATTTATTAATTATTTTGTAATGTGATATTATTTATTTAGTAGAAAGTAACAACAATGAGCCATATTATGGCTACCTGGCCATTACACAGAAAGTACGGAAAAGCAATAACATGGCCAATTAGCCATGATACAACTAATTAGCCATGATATGGCTAAATAGCCATAATAAGATTATTAATTAATTAACACGTATATAAGCAACTTGAATTCACTGTACTTTCAGAATAACTTTGTAAAAGAACTTTGGGAACTTGGTGATAAGTTAAGAAGTTTGAGAAAACTTGTAGTGAATTGAGAAGTTAGAAATAACTTAATTAGTTTTGACTAAATAAATCATAATCAAACGTTTATCTTTTTAACCAAAATTATCTGCTAATAAAAACTAATTTGTTAGTAAACCTATTCATTCTGATCCACATAAGCATAATAAACAATTGTTATTATCAATTAATTCATGCTCTCCCAAACATAATTGGTGACAATATCATTTTGTTTTCAAATGGTTCAGCATTGATCATTCATTTTAAAGATTAAATTTAGATTATTCTCATTTTCAATGTTTTCATCAGATATCTCCAACAAAAGTCAAAATCCTATTACTCTAGACTAATCTCAATTAAGCTCCTGGAATAAGTATCCAAATTTTATTTAATATTAATAATAAAAAGATCAATGTTTCACTTGTTCATAGTAATAGATGGATCATCAATTAAAATTTTTAATCCCTGAAATTCTTGGTAATACCAATGTTCACTTTGTTGGGTTTTGTTGCAGCATGCCCCATATTAAATATATATTAGAAATAATTCTATTACAAACCTTCTTGGGCAAATTGATTTTTTCTTTTATGTTGAATGCAAATTGTATAAATCATTTGTTTATGGATATGGTCATAATGAAGCCATTTATATTCAGATAATCATTTTTGTTTGAAACTATTGATTTTTATTTTTTTATTCAATTGATTTAATTTTTTCATTTTCATTTTCATATTCAATTCAGCAAGTTCAGTATCAAAAGTACTATTATTAGAATTTTCTTCTGGATTAATAAATTGAAATATTAAAATAATTAATTTTTTACTTTAACAAAGAAAGAAGGCACTGGAAGAATTGATATTTATAGAACATACCTTGAGCTACTTCTAAATCCATACTCAAATAAACTCATTTTTACATTTTATAATGATAAAAAATAATATTTACTAGTATTATACAATATACAATTGAATTATTTTAAGCATGAGTATTATAATAATCTAAAGTTTGAATAAAAAATATATATTTATACATTTTGTACATTAAGTACAATATTAGCAGAATTCTAAATTAACAGACTGCAATGTCTTTATTTCTTCAACAACCGTTTGTTTTGGTTTCGTTGGGGTGAAACATGTTGGTTTGATAAAACTGGCCTTGTGATGATTTGGTGTTGAAGTATTCTCAGTATGAAAGATTCCATGAAATGGATTTAAATTATCATTGTCAAGTTTAAATAATACATCTGCTTTACGGTTTATATTATCCTATTATTTAAGGAGTTGTTATAAGCATCCATTATCATTGAACATCAATTGCTCTTTTTCTTACCTTAAATAAATATAACGCCTCCAAAGTTTTCTCCAAAGTTGTAATATCATCAAGTTTAGCAGGGAACCTAAATGCAGGACCCTCAAATCCAAAATATAGGCCATTATCTACTAAATCAATACCAATGATTTGACCATGGAGAGCTACACAATGATAAGAATTATGAGAATCAATTATAAACATAATAAAATGTGTAGTGTAAAAAGCCTTACCAGCTAATTGTAATCCTAAAACAGCAGAATCATCAACTGCTTCTTTTGAAAGATCATGCATCAAATACTGGTCAAGAATACATTTATTTGTTCGCATACATTTACTACGATCCTTAATTACTTTATTTGGTGTTGTTGATCGAGCAGCTTCTGAATGACTCAGTTCTTTATTACCTGATCTATATATGATTTGTAAATCAATCTTTCTAGCTAATGCTACCCTAGAGACAGTCTCACCCCTAAAAATATTCATACAAGCAAATTAACAGACCCACAATTGACAACTGCTTCATAGTAAACAAGAATACTCACCATTTGAGTTGAATGTGATCTTGTATATCAGAAAAAATTAAAATCGGACCCACAATTTTAAGTGTAAAATTCAATTTCTGACAAATTTTGTTTTTGTCCTTCCTTATCCACAAATATGTGTGGGTTTCCCAAAAACATATCAATACTAGTGATAAAATTTAACTATGTTCAATTTTGTAGGCAGTATGGTTATAGCAGTAAAAAAAACATATATTACATACACAAAAAAATAAATTCTCATTATCTGTTGATGCATGATTTTATCTGAATGCCCTTTCAACTTCTCAAGAACATAATCCCTGCTTTCCCAGTACTGATATGAAATGCAAAACTGAACATAAAAGAGTAAAAAGAGTTCAGTGATGTACATACATATTCTAACAAACAACAAGTAATTTAATACATACTTTCTCTATTCTGTTAATGTCATTTTTAATCTCCTTATCAAATTGTTTTGTTGTGATGTTCACTTGTGATAACACCTTTTCTTTAAGAACTATCCATTCTTTTCCAAACCATTTATGCATGCCACCAGCAAATTCCGAAGAAAGGTCAATAATCGAAGATAGACCAAGCCTGCATACACACATGTTTATCTGTGGTTAAAATTTGTACCAATATTATGAATGTGAGAAAGAGAATACATGACATACCGGATGATGCTCAGAGTATGTGCGCTTACTTTTTTCTGATAGTTGGACTGCTCAATTGTCTTTTTTGCCATGTGTAAAAGTACTACTGGAATTGGAATATTTGACTACACCGATTTTATCTCTTTTTTAAAAAAATATAAAAGTACAGATTACTATATAAAAGTAATCACAGAATGGTCGAATTCAGATATACTTTTCATCTATTATTGTACGTTTATCGAAAATCAAAAAAAAACTTATCCTATATAAATTTGTTCATACGCACATTGAAAATTTTATATTTATTTATCATTATGATAATAACATTGACTTTACAGAAGTAGTAACAGAAGATAAAATATCAATTATGGAAGATAATAATTCTAATTTAAATTAGAATTATGATTGTCTTCTTAATAACATCATCATTTGTATCATTTGTATTTAAATTAGAATTATGATTATCTGTCTTGAATAACATCATCATTTATATCATTTGTTTAAATTATGAATTATGATTATCTTGAATAACATCATCATTTGCAACAAAATCGGACAAAGTGAACATTGGTATTACCAAGAATTTCAGGGATCAAAATTTGTAATGTGATTATTAAAATCTTCCATTTGTTTGTTACCTTTGTTTTTTCCTTATATTAAGTG